GCCCGCTAACGTACCGCACTAACACACGCACCCGCTAATGTACCGCAATAACCCACATGCCCGCTAACGTACCGCACTAACCCCACACCCACTAACGTACCGCACTAACCCACACACCCACTAACGTACCACACTAACCCACACACCCACTAACCTTCCAATCAGAAATTCAGGAGAAATATCTTCACCCAGAGAGGGGTGACAATGTGGAACTCGCTACTGAGCGATGGAAGCAAATGGTATCGATGCATTGATGCAGAAGCTAACGCACATTAGCGAGAAGTGAATATTGGGCTACATTAATAGATTTAGATGAGAAATAATGGGAGGAGACACAAATGAAGCATCAACACTGGCATGGACAGGCTGGGCCAAATGACCTGTTCCTCTGGTCCTAGCTGATGCTTGGCAATACCTGCTGGATGATTTTTTATTGGGACCCTCCAATTCATGTTTTCGAGCGAGGAGCCCTTCCTGCTCTGCTGTGTGTGTAACTGGTGGTGGCGCTGCAGCACTGTTCTGGGGAGATGGTGCAGAGCGGGACCGGCGCGGTTCTCCAATCGGCTGGTTCGGGTCCTTCGGCCGAGGTCTCCTCCTGGGCTTGGGTCTGTCCCTCGCTCTCGGTCTGTCCGGTCGAGGGGTTCTCTCTGGCAGTTTCTCAATTCCATTTGGCAGGCCAACAGACAGTGATGAGTCCCGTCCCTGTGTGGAAAGACAGCATCTCAGTCACACGGCTCGCCAAAAGCATCAAAACCACTTTCACCGAGCTACAGCGTCCTGGAGTATGACACTACACAGCGTCTGCCATTTAACCTGTCCCTTGCAAACCCTATTCCCAATTCAGAACATTTCCAGCCTGTAACATGCAGGAAATACAAACTGTTCACGGGACGGCAAGGGAAGGGTACCACAGTATCTAGGAGATCAGTGGACACCAGATAAATACTGTCACCCTTAACCAATGAGACTTACGGATCGAGAAAGAAACAGCAAGTTAGGAGAAGATGAATTTGAGTTAAATCGGGTGCAGAATGTGAAATAAAGAGAGGGAAAGAAAAGTTGAATTTTTAAAAAATTTTGTTCACGTTCATTTATGGGAAATAGGCTTCACTGACCAGGTTCTGCATTTATTGCCCAGAAGGCAGTTAAAACTCAATTACATTGCTATGGGTCTGGAGTCACATGTAGGTCAGACCAGCTAATGATTTCCCTCCCTGAAGGACATTATTGAAACAGATTGGTTTCTCCCCCAACAATCTTGATGACCATTAGACTTTTAATTTGAAATTCTTATGAGTTCAAATCCCTCCATCTGCTGATGTAGGTTTGGAACCCCAGAACACACTGGAGTCTGGATTAATAGTCCAGAAATAATACCACTAGGCCATTGCCCGCCCTAAGAGGTAGAAAATGGGCGTCATTGGCAAGGCCAGCTTTCATTGCCCATCTCTAGTCAACTTTCAACTAAGTGGCTTACTTGGCCATTTCAGAGGGCAGATAGGTGTCAACCACTTTGCTGTGGGTGTAGAGTCACATGTAGGCCAGACCGGGTAAAGACAACAGATTCCTTCCCAGAAGAATATTAGTGAACCAGATGGGTTTTAGCGACAATTAATGATAGCACTATTAGTGACAACAGCTTCATTTTACAGATTTACCAGCTGAATGTAAATTCCACTAACTGAGCATTAGCCAGGGCCTCTGAGTTATCAGCCCAATGACAGTCCTAGTGCACCAAATCCTAACTCGCACCAATTCCCATTCATCTGTTATCCCTGTTAATGCAATAATCCACTCACACTCACCTGTGCCTCTTTCTCCTGAAGTTGCTCTACAATGTCAGCCAAAGTGGTCCTCCTGTCCCTTCAAAAATAAGACAATATGGGTTAAACCACAATACTCTGTAAGGGAATTAGGAGTAAAAAGACTAGTAATACCTGGAAATGAACGTACAGGTCGTGCCAGAACTCATATTGAAGATATGAGAGGGTCAGACCAGTAAGTCTGATTACCAGTTTTACTTTGCAAGATTCCTGGCCCTCCCTCATGCGCCGAGAATCCCCAGACCTCACTTGCTCAGTTTATACAAAATCCCTATAATCCCCATTTCCCATAACCAATCCACCTAACCTGCACATTTTTGGACTGTGGGAGAAAACCAGAGCACTCAGAGGAAACCCACGCAGACATGGGGAGAATGTGCAAACTCCACACAGATAGTCGCCCAAGACTAGAATTGAACCTGGGTCCCTGGTGCTGTAAGGGGCCGTGTTAACCACTGCACCACCATGCCAACCTATATAGGTTGTGTATGCTCAGGCGTGCTTACATTATAAACTGTTTTTCTCAGGATCTGTCTTGCTTTGTCATTTCTTAAAGCAACCATCCTTACCTTTTCCTCAAGAGACCCACCCTTAATTCAGCTGGTCCTTCCAGAATAGAGTGACCTGGGGGTTTCATGATGACGGGACAGATTGAGAGTCATTAGCAAAGTTTATGGGATTTTGAGCTTCCTAAATGAAGGCATTGAATACTAATGATGTGATTGCTTAGTTGTACAGAACTGAAACTTTGCTAGAAGGAGGCAAGAAGTCAACGTTGCTCATCTTGCATTCACCTGAACCAGGATGCAAGGATCAAATTTGGAGAAAGGGCACCATTTTACACAGCCTGAGGAGAGGGTGCTGATTGGCTGGGCCATCATAGGGGCGGTGAGGCAGCAGGAACAGTTAACTGTCAATTGTAATTCCCTGACCCAAGCAGGTAGATTCTGATTAGTCAGGGTGTTGCTGTGGGGATGCAACTGGACATTGGGTGTCTCCATAACCTCTTTTCTAATGAGCAAAGATGCATACATTAAAATGAAATAAAGATGAACTTTTATAGAACACTAGTTCATCCCAACTAGAGCAGTTCTTCCAGGTCTGGTCCACACTCTTTAGGACAGATGTGAGAGCGAAAAGGAGATGTAGCAGAACAGTGCAAGGGATGAGGGGTTTTGATGGAAGGAGCTAGGGTCTTGGAGTGAAGGAGACGGAGGAGAGGATTGATGGAGGTGGACTAGATTCCACCAGGTTTAGACAAGGTATTTGGATGGGATGGGGATGGGGGCGAGGGCGGGGAGAGGAGTTGGGTAGAGCTGTTCCCATTATCCGAAGGCACAAGGTTCAGGAGGGGAGTAACAGATTTAAAGTTCTACAAAAGCGATTCAGAGGCAGCAGTTTTTACACAGCAAGTGTGAATAACCTGAAATTCTCTGCCTGCAGGGGGAGTGGAAGCAGAGATTATGAACAATTTCAAAAAGAAATTGGATAGGCTCTTGAGGGAAATCAAATTTCAGGGCTTTCGGGACAAATTGGGACAAACTGGATTGCTGTACAGAAACCCAACATGGCCTTGTTAGGCCAAATATGCTCCATCGGTGCTGTAACAACTCCGATCCTCTATCGTAGGAATCCATATGTTCTATTTTAAAAATCAACTTTCTCAATTCATCCTGTCGGTTCTCAGGTATACCAGGGATATTGTAAACAGTCAGTTTAGAATTGATTGGGCTGTTCCTGGCCCTGTACCTGTTCTGGGAGTGATTCGCAGGGACAGTGTTGGAAGAGTTTTACTTTCAGTTTAAAAGAGTAGAGCTAGTTTTACTCTGTATCTAACCCTATGCTGTCCCTGTCCTGGGAATGTTGATGGGGACAGTGTTGGGGGAGTTTCACTTTCAGATGAAAAGAGTAGAGGAGGGTTTGCTCTGGATGTGGTCATGTGCTACCTCTGTCCTTGGAGTGTTTGATGGGGACAGTGTCAAGTATGCATTATTTTAAGATTTAAAAAGAGTTTGGGAGAATAGAGGGAACCTTGCTGAGTATCCAACCCTGTGCTGTACCTGGCCTTGGGACAGTTTGATGCAGACAGTATTGAGGGATATTTACTTTCTGTTTAAAACAGTACAAATGTTTGGATCGGGTGAAGGAGGAGACTGATAATCATCTCCTGCCATAAACAATACTTTGCCCTTCATCCTCTGCAACATATTCTGAAACATTGGTGAAGGCCGGCACAGTGGCTCAGTGGTTAGCACTACTGCCTCAGTGCCAGAGACCCTGGTTCGATTCCAGCCTTGGGCGACTGTCTGTGTGGAGTCTGCACATTCTCCCCGTGTCTGCATGGGTTTCCTCCCACAGTCCAAAGACGTGCAGGTTAGGTGGATTGGCCATACTAAATTGCCCATAGTGTTCAGGGAGGTGTAGATTAGGTGGGTTATAGGGGGATGGGTCTGGGTGGGATGCTCTGAGGTTCAGTGTAAACTTGCTGGGTTGAAGGGCCTGTTTCCACACTGTAGGGATTCTATGAAGAATACAGTGACAGCTTTCCCCAGAGTAATGTTCTCCACTTTTGTTTGTGTTTAATTTTGATATGGTGCCCCTGCAGGGGCTGCTTCACTATTATTTATTTCTGGACTACCTCAAAGAATCAAGGGAGACTTATTCCGTATTTTAACCTTTGCTGTCCCTATTCCAGGAATGTTTGATGGGGAAGGTGTCAAGGGGACTTTATATTCGGTTTACTTTGAGTTTAAAAGAGTAGAGGAACCCTTACTCTGTACTTTAACTCTCTATAGACCCTGTCCCAGGGGTGTTTGATGGGAACGGTGTCGAAGGAACTTTACTATGAGTTTGAAGTGTAGAGAGGGCTTTTCTTCTGTATTCAAATCCGCGCTGTCCCTATCCTGGGAATGTTTAATGAGGACGGTGTCGAGGGAACCTCCCTTTCAGTTCAAAGAGTTGAGCTCCATGTGTCTGCAGCTGAAATGTGAAGGGACCAACCCTCAGCTACACAATCAAAAGGGGGGGGGGTGTCATCTTGACCTCGGCTCCTCACCCAGCAACTCCTGCATCCTCCTGTTCCAGCTCCCGATGCTCGCTCAGAGACTCGCGGCGCTCTCTCTGCTGCTCCTGCTTCACCTCGCTTTGCTCAGCTTTTGTCTGCGCCTGCTCGAGCCTCCCCTCCACTTTCTCTCGCCTCAACAAGCTCGCCGGCTTTGGATCAGACTGTGCTGAGCCTGGGAGCTTGGCCGCTCGGAGCTCGGGTCTCTCGGTTCGTGCCTCCAGGGGCCCGTCGATGATTTCGTACACCGCTTGCTGTTTGATGGGCCGCGTCTCTGGCACTGCCACTGACTGTTCGGGCAGAACAACCCTCGGCTCTGGTAGCATTCTGCGACTCAGGATAGGAGTGGCAGGCTGCCGCTGTGGCATCTGCCCCTGGAGGGCCACCTTGTTCTCCATTCGCTCCAGCTAAAGAAAAAAGGAAGCAGTATATATATAAATGCAGACAGCCATTCCTGTAGAGTGGACGCACTTACTGTGCATTGGGCATTGGCTTTAGTTAAGGTACGGGGCAGCTACTGGAAGGTTTAGAGCTGCAAACACAAGAATACAAAAACAGAGTAACAGTAGGCCATTCAGCCCTGCTGCTCCATGTCTGATCTGAGTAAGGCTTTCTTAACAACCCCTATGTGTGTCTTCCAGAACCTGCATGAGTTTTTTTTTTAAATCCTTTATTCTTTTACAGGATGTGGGTGTCACTGACAAGGCTTAACTGCCATCATTAATTGTTGAGAGTCAACCCATATTGCTGTGGGTCTGGAGTAAAAACTATCCGAGACTGAGCGGGGATGACAGACTTCTCTCCCTAAGGGGGACCGGCGAACTAGATGGGTTTTTACACCAATCTGTGATAGTTTCCTGGTCACCATCTCTGAGCTTCCAATTCCCAATGTTTTAATTGAATTTAAACTCTACCAAATGCTGCAGCTGTGATGGGAATTGAACCCATGTCCCAGTGAATCATTAGTCTGGGCCTCCGGGTTACTAGTCTAGTAACAATGCAAATTCATTACCATCTCCCCATCCCAAGTATCAAAGGACAACCATGCAGATGTTACCGAGTACCTCATTCATTCTGAAGCTGAACTATCGCACAACCACACACCAGCACCAACAGCATCACTTCAGTGGCTTCACTTGGTAAGTTAATTCAGTTTTGACCTGGTGATTCCCACTCAAAGGATAGGGAGTGTCTAACATAGGAGGGGGGGCAATCCTAACCATGGCTTGCAGAGCTAGATACAGGTACTGAACCCTAGGGACTGTTGTTGAGAAGAAAGCAGCTCAGATGGATCAGCAACTGCAAACAGACACACACCTACTCTACATCATTCCCACAACAAGCAAAGAGATGGAGGAATCCCACCCTGACGCCATCAGATTGCTGGGACAAGGAATTGCAAGGATAGCTGCCATGCAGGGAGTCTCTGTCTTAAACAAAGTGAACAACTGAGCCTCCCTTGGCCCCTAGGCAGCAGAACCCGAACTACTCTGAGTGAAGAAATTCCTCTAACCCACCTGCCAGTTCCCCTCCAAGCCACTCACCATCCTGACCTTGGAAATATAATGCTGTCCCTTCTCTGTCACTGGGTCAAAATCCTGGAATTCTCTCCCTAAGGGCATTGTGGGGCAACCTACAGCAGGAGGACTGCAGCAGTTGAAGAAAGCAGCTCATCACCCCCTTTTCAAGGGCAACTAGGGATGGGCAGGAAATGCGACGCCCACATCCCATGCGGGAAAAAAAGATTATCGTCTCTGTTTTAAAGGGCAACCTTTGATTTTAAACTATGACCTGCTAGTTTTAGATTCTCCCACAGGAGGAAGCCTTGTGACATTGACCAGGCCAAGACCCCTCAGGATCTTATATGCTTCAATCATTTTGTCTCTTCTGAACTCTCATGGATATAAGTCCAACCCATCTGACCTGTTCTCACAAGACAATCTGCCCATTCCAGATCCTAGTCTGGTAAACCTTCTCTGAACTGTTTCCAACATCCTTCCTTAATTAAAGAGACGAGAACTGTACACAATTCTCCCAGATGCCATCTTACCAATGCCCTGTGTAACTGTAGTATGACCTCTCTACTCTTGTAACTCAATTCCTTCACAATAAAACATTCGAATGTTCGATTCACACCACAACAGCTGGTGGAATTTAAATTTAATCAATACTAAGGTGGAATATAAACCTTGGCTCAGTAATGGTGACCATGACAACTGACAGTTGTAAAAAGAATCTGATTCACTCATATCCTTCAGGAAAGGAAATCTGCTGTCCCTACCCAGTCTGGCCTCCATGTGACTCCAGACCCACAGTGATGGGGTCAACTCTGAACTGTCCTCTGAAATGGCTGAGCAAGCCACTCAGTTTAGGGGCAATTAGGGATGGGTGACAAATATTGGCCTTATTTGTGATGCTCCACTAAAATAAGGTTTGTGATATTCCCGTGCAAGCTGCCACATGGAGTTAAGGTAAACTGTGCTATAAAAGTGACCTGGTTCAAACACTGGCATGAATGGGGATTAAATACTTTTCAATTAGATGTATTCAGGAGGCATAGGGGAAGGACAAAAGAGAAAGAAGCAGGATGGCAGCATTCATCAGGAATAATATTACAGTCATACAAGGAGACAATGTAAAAGAGGACTCAAAGACTTAATCTAATGGTGGAGAAAACAAAATGAACTGTCACTTTACTCAGTTTACCCAGGAACCCCAGGAGTAGGCCATTTGGCCCTTCATGTCTGCTGCACCATTCGATAAGATCATCTAGTGATGGTCTCAACTCCACATTCCCATCTACACAGCCCCCTCACCCACACTGACATTACTCTTGACTGCCTTCTCCATCCAACTCAGCCTCGAATTCCACGCTCAAGTGACCTTGAGATGAGAAACCTCTGCTCGTCTCTGCATCAAAAAGGAGACCCTTAAACTGTGTCCCTTAGTTTTACTGTCCCCCACAAGAGGGGACACTGTTCTGGGTATCCAGCCAATCTGGCCCCTGTCACTGCTGCCTCCCATCCTGTTACTGTTTGAAACCACTGTCCAAACTCAGTCATGTTCACAAAGATCCCCTATTTGTTTGGACCTACCGTGGTGAGCCTCCTCAACGAGCTGAACCTCTCCTCCCAGACTGCTGCCGCCTTGCGGAAAGCCTCGTGCCGCTTGATCAGCTGTTCCACCTCGTCCACACTGTTCCCCAGCTGGTTACTGCTGACCAGGTGCTCCTGGGCACTCAGCCATGATTCCGCCACCACTGCCTCTTGTGCAAACTGGTGCACCTCCAGCACTGAGGAAAAGGCCACAGCCAGTATCAGGCATCGTCCCTAGAACGAAGGCTGTCCCAGTAGCGCTGAACAGAAACCGAAACCAGAAGGATACAACACAGCGAGCACCCTATCGGTCCCCACATGGGAACTTGAGGGATCTGCATCGCGCCTCGTCTCATACAATCACAGAATATTGACACAGAATTTGAGGAAGTCTAGCATTGCGATTTCATGATTGCACAACACTTTCTGAATAATTCTGAGTGCGCTAATCTGGCTAACAACCAGTTTAAGATGTAGCTCGCTTACATTTGCTGGAAGCTGCATGTATTTACATGAAGGGTCCTGTGTTCGGAAGACAAAATGCACTATGGCGTTATGCCTTCTGTGAATTACACAAAAAAGTGGGGTAAAATGTTTCCTTAGTGCATCCTCCATGGCAACACCTTGTCCAATCAGAGTCAACATGCTAATCAATTAACACCCTTTCCTCATTCAGTATAAACTGAGGAGTTTATAGTATAAAGTGAGTATAGTATAAAGTTCTGAGGAAGGGTCACAGGACCCAAAATGTTAACTCTGATTCTTTTTTCCACAGTGCTGCCAGACCTGCTTGAGCTTTTCCGGCAACTTTTGTTTTTGTTCCAGTATAAACTGTTATTCTTTTTAAAATTTGACATTCTTGCATCTGTCCAGATGAGCACAAGATAAAATTCTTCAACAGTATGTCCCTTTTTCTGCTAGTATTTACAGAATGACAGGGCACAGAAGGATACCATTCAGCCCATATTTCTGTGCTGGGTGTTTGACAGAGCTGTTTAATTATTCCCACACCCTTGCCCTTTCCCCACAAATGTTTCCTATTTTAAATATTTACCCAGTTCCCTCTTCAAAGTTACCACTTCATCTGCTTTCACTGCCATTTCAGAGGGGGCATTCTTAGCAACTCACTGCAGAGTAAAGAAAGTATTGAGAACTGTGTGGGAGGAGGGCAGGAACAGAGAAGGACATTGGGCCAGAGGACAGCAGACTGAACAGACAGATCTGGGGGTGTGGGGAACAGTGATCATAAGTGGGTTATTCATTACAGGCTGGAGTCCTAGACATCCCATTGTAGGAAGGACATCAAAGCTAATGAAACGAGAGGTACACATAGGTCATTGAGGGAGAGAGACAGACAGTGAGTGTGTGTGAGGGGAAGAGACAGTCAGTGTACGGGTTTGATAGAGAGTATGTGCACATGTGAGAGAGAGTGTGCGCATGTGTGTGTGTGAGAGAGAGAGAGAGAGAAAGTCAAAGAGAAAACATGCATGTGAGGGAGATTTTGTATGAGGCAGTTTGTGTGAGAGACAGAGAAAGTGAGAGTGTGACAAAAACAAAGTTGCTGGAAAAGCTGAGCAGCTCTGGCAGCATCTGTGAAGAAAAAAAGAGTTAACGTTTCGGGTCTGGTTACCCTTCCTTAGAAGTGAGAGTGTGTATATGTTTGAGTGAATGTGAGTGCCTGTGTGAGCATTTGTGTGTGTAACAGTTTGTATGTTTGAGTAAGTGTATGTGTGAGAGTGGCTGAGACAGAATGTCAATGTGTATTTGAGTGAGTGAGGGAGTGTGTGTGAGTGGTTGTGATTGTGTATGTGCACGTGTGTGTCAGAGAAAGAGACTGCGATTTTGTACTTGTGCAAGTGTGAGTGAGTGTGACTGTGTGAGAGAGAGTGCATGTGTGTTATAGGTGAGAGAGTGCAAGTGTGTGTGAGACTAACCAGTGCCACAATCAGGAGACCAACAGATGATGTGAAGGCAGATCTGCATTAACCACCAATCCCAATACTCACTCTGTTGTAGCCACTCCCAATGTTGCTCCCATTTTTCCATCATTTCATGTTGCTTCTTCAAAACCTTATCCAGTTTCTCCTTAATCTAAAAAAAATTCACGTAGCTACAATTACAAGGATAAAAATTTGACACGACTTATACATAAAACAAGGATGAGAAAAGCTGATTTTAACTTTGCCGTACCTTAATTCCCAACAAATCCCAGAGAGTTGGAGGGATTGAATGAGAGATGGGAAGTGGAAGGACGGAACAGGGAGGGAGAGCGGGAAGAGAAGCAGCAGGAGAGGGAAGAAAAAGGCAGGGTAAACGATGAAAGAGGAACTGGATGAAGCATGAACTGTGTAACAGACAGGAAGCAGTGAGAGTTCAGTCACTGTGAACAGACATGAACTGGAGCAGGGGTGGGCTGTTTAACTTGTCTAATTTCCAACTCCCTAACTCTGTTGTCAATGACAATCCTTTACACACTCACTTTCTCACACATATGCATGCACATACACACTTGCTCCCTCACACATACATGTTCTCTGTCTCTCACACATACATACACACATGCTCTCTCACACACACACACACACACACACACACACACACACAC